AGAAACACGTATCAATTTATTTCACAGGGCATGTTAACTCAGGAGGTACCATGCTTTTTGTCCCTCACCTGGTTTCTGGAGACAAGTTAGCTGTCTCTGCACTGCTCTTGATTATGCAATGCACACATGCAAAGATTCTTATCTTCCTTATAAAGGCATTCTGTCAAGAGCAAGAAGAGGTAAAAAAAAAAAAAGGAAGGCTGCTGTCATTTGCATTGTAGGGAAGGGAATGTTTTTAAGCCAACAAGTAACACAGATGGAATAGCTGACCTGAGGCTGAGTAATGCACACTGGTTCTGAAATAAAGCCCAAAGTTTCCAAAAAGAAGCCAAAAACTACACAGAAATCACCTGGGTTTTACTACAGCTCTTAAGTCTCAAAGCTGACATAGGTGAATATGGGAATTCAGCTGGTTTAGGAGGTAAATAATGACTTGTTAAGAGCTTCAGATTGCAAGAAAGAGGACTCTCACAAAATTCAGACCCCAAGATCCCACTTGACTGAAAGGTATGGACCCTAATTTTTCTGTTGGTTGTATGTCTGATCAGTAAGGGCACAAAATACACATATAGATAAGCAAAAGATACATGTGCAGACATGGCTAGATGCTTACTTTACTGTATATATGCATGCATTTGCAATATATTTATGCAGACATGCAACCAAACATGGAGATAAATGTGGGTATAGAAAATCAGACCCAATGTATGTGTTTTAGATATTTTTTTTACTTTGGTTTCAATATGCCATCAGGCATGGTAGCGCTTAACATGTCATAGCATAGATTAGCAATAGAAAAAATAGTTATTTTGATTATTATGAGTGTTTTTCTTTTCTGTAACTGACTTCAGCTTTGTTGCACATCTTTCCATGTTTGGCAAAAGCTTAGTGTATCTATATAAATAAAATGCTAAATACTGTTTTTCAATATTTTAAACAATACATTTCCTCAGTGTACCCTCTTTAAAAGAAGTATTTGTTTATTTGAGAGGCAGTTTCAATAGCATGTGGCAGATTATTTTAATAAAACAGAGCGAGATCAATATCATGAAAGCAGGATTAAATATCTTTAAGAAGATGCTTGCATACTAACCCTTTGTATGTGACTTTATATTTTGAGGTATAGAGAGAAAGAAATGAGAATCATAGAATATGATTCCCTGGTTCACTTGTATTCAGGAAGGTAAAGATTGCTTGAAATATGGATGATGAAGCTGGTTTCTTCATAGGATAAGGTAGAAGAGATTACTCACTGAGCCCAGGAAAGCAGTCTTTCTGAAGGAGACAACCAAAAGGCTGACAGGTGATGTAAACAGATTATATTTCTTGGAGATTAAAGCAAGCTTTTTGACATATGAAAGACCCTATTAAAAATTGGACTGTGCTCACTGTCATCTGTGGACAATATTGATTGCTGAGCTGTTTACTTGTGAAAGGAAGTCTTTCTAGTCAAATGATGCAGTTTTAGGAAAGAGAATGACCTCTGCAGGAGGAGAGGGAATACAATTATAAATCATACCAAATGTGATTGAAACTTTCCCACAGGCAAGAAAGAAAAACAAATTAAAGCGAATATTGTATTAAAGGAGTTTCAGTGGATGCCTTGGAGAGCTCTGATTTTCATGTAAATGCTCATTTAGACTGAGGTTTACTGCCTCCTCAGAATAATGGAGACAAAAAGAAAAGCATGTTTAATTGGAAAGGGAGGGAATGCCAAAGAAATAGATGAATTGCAATTCACTTTCTAGATTTTTGCCTCCAGATCTAGTGGCTATGATATCTCACTGTCTTAAATTGTACAAAGGAAAACAGTAATTGAACTTCAGTCCATATAATTCGTGAAATCTTGCCTTTTTTTCTTTATCAGGTCTTCTAGATTATTGCAGCTTTAGATAATTTCTCCATAGGTCCTTTTGCACGTCCTTGTGGGAATTGCCTAGTGATTGACAGCTTTGATCTGGAAATTGTTGCAGCTAAACTGCTACAATTCGTATGGAGAGAACTGCCAAATAATTTGACAGATGCCAAGAAATGACGTATGCGGATCTGTCAGCCAGACTTTTTTAGAGGAACCATCCTTTGAGTTTTGCTGCATGGGTATATTTAATACTCGTGGCAACAAAGAGCTGACAGCACCCATGCTCTGCAAAAGTGGGCTTTGGGGATAGGTGACGGCTGCTGTCAGTAAATCCCAACAAAATGATCATCAGAAATCAGAAATTAAGGATTTTGTGGTCATGGCAGGAGCTCACAAGCAAATAGTTTCATGCCTGAAAGAGTGTGAAATTGATGTAAAATGTTTTCTGAAACAAGATCTTTAATAAGAAACCCAAAAGTAAATAAGATAATTTTAACTAAGCTCAGGATGAGCCTAAGAGAAGTCAAATGTATTGTACTTACGCATTTTTTCCCCTTTTTTCATTTGCAACAAAAATTACTCCAGAAGTTACAGTATTAAGATTTAACCCAACAGTAAAAATCAACACAATTATAAATGTCGTTGTATCATGTAGGCTATCAGGCAACTGAAGCGACACATGTTCAAACCTAACTGAGTAAACATATTTTATTTGCATTCAAGCTAATGCCTTGAAACTGAAGTTAACCTCCCAGGGCTAAAATCAGGGCAGGTGCAAGGCCATTTCCCTCACCTACCAAACTGAGATGTCAACTGTGAAGCCTGAACTATTTCATTCTTAAACCTCTCCTTGTATTTGTCTATGTGCGTGGGGATTTAACGCAGTGGGATATTGAAAATCTCATCAAGTTCAACAGAATAAACGTTAAAAAGAGCTTTCATCATTAAGTGTTTTCATACTCTATAATGTACAAAGTTACGTGACCATATTTTAAGGAGACTTTAACTAGGAAAAAAACGTCCTAATGCCTAAAGCTGGCAATGTGCTAATTAAGATACACAGAAGAAAAGTTAAGCAAGTAACTTTAAAGAGGGAGGGAAGCAAGGATGCCATGCCATGCAGAAATACATGACGATTCAGCCACTGAGCCCAATCACTGGGGAGGAGAAATGCATAAACAGGAAGAGGCAGTAAAGAAGTTATTTAATTGTGGGCTAGAGAGGAAAAGTACCTCCCATGAGATTTATTCTGGACGGCTGAATGTGTGTGCTTATGGGAGCAGGGGACATGTAACTAGGAGCTCTTTAGGTCATGCCTGTGCTGGAGTAAGTTAGAGCCCTAGTCAGCCCAAATGGTGAGATGATGAAGCAGTGGGGGAAACTAAGCATATTCATCAACATTTTAATAATATTTCCTGCCACTTTATTCTTCTCATAACTTTTTAAGCTACCTTTCTGTCTTGACAAATTCCTTCTTTAAACCAGCCCATGACAGACTTTTCTTAGATGTCCAACTGAAAGTGAAGATACACTAGAAAGTCTGGAGCACAGGGAGCCTCAGTTGAGCATTGCACTGCAGAGCTGGTTCTTATTCTAGCTCTGCCAAGGAGTCCCATTAAGACATTGTGAAGTTGCTGAAACCATTTTTTTCACAGGTTATTCCTAATTTTTCATTCCTTATTTTACAGACACTTGACCGTGGCTTCTGGTTTTCAGATGTATGAGCAGCTCTGTAACCAATGAGCTCTGAATGCCTGAAACATTATGTAGTGGTAAACACTCTGAGAAAAACAAACGTGATTCAGAACAGACAGCAAGAATAGTAGAACCTTTGGACCTACATCTCCCCAGATTTTAGATTGCTGTTTTAAAGTATCGTTAATAGTATCACCTCCTTTAACAGCATGTTGTGTAAATGAAATCATGGATGCTTGTAAAGCATCAGGACTGGTAGTGATGATCACCTAGTCTTTTCTAACTTGTTCTGTCTTTGTGCTCTCTCTCTGTCAGTGTTGGCCTCTTGATCTCTCCCTACTTGGCTGGTCCAAGCCTGATACTAAGGTCACAGTTGCTGTCATGGGCTCCTTGCTCCTTTCTCTGTACCTCCTATTTCCCCTTTCCAGCCTTCCCATCCATGGCTTGCTTATTCTGGTTCCTTCAGCACCAGTCCCTGGGCTCCTGTCCCATACTCAACCCTTCCTGTGCCCCAGCCACTGCCCACCTGTTTTCCATCCCTGGCACATAGTGTCATACTCCACTTGGTGTTCCTGTTCTGCAGCAAACACAGTGCAAGTGACAGCAACCCTCTGGCTGCTAGTTTGACCAGACTTTCATCCCCTTGGCAGCAGGGACTGGTGTGTAGGTCAGCACATGCCTTACTCGTGCCTGAGTCCTGTCCTGGCACACAGCTCTCTCCAAAAAAGTGGAGAGAGGTTCAGACATGCTCCATGGGCCTGGCATCCTCACAGACAGTACTTCTTAAAGGCTAGCAGGTCCACATTGAGCAGATTCAATCGCAGTTTTTTGGAAGGCTCATCCTTTAACCTAATGTGGGTGGACCTCCACAGAAACTGCACAGAGAAGCTGTTCTTTGGCACAGCTTCTTGTTCTTGCTCCAGAGTTATGGGAGGGCACTAATTTTTTCAGCAGAAGGCTTGTTCCTGAGTCTGCTCCTTAGAAGCTCTTGAGCTAATTCCACTGAAATTTGTGTTTTAAATCAAAACCAAAGAAATAAATTCACTCAGTATGGAAATGTTTTGTAATGTTTGGAAATGCTATGCACAACTGGAAGTGAGCTCTTTAAGGTGGTTGGCAGCCTTACTAATATGCAAAACTACTGCCTGTGCTGATGCTAGCAGTGCAGGTAGGAGTCACATACGTAAATGCACCCAAACTGGGGGTGTTACAGATATAAGCTGAACAAAGAGCTGCATTTTGTCATTTGGAGCTTTGGAAAGTTTGGGAAATAAGCAAAATTTACTTACATGGGATCCCGAGGTGCTGACAAGACTTTAAAGTTAGTCCTGCCTTGAGAAGGAGGCTGGGCTAGATCAGCTCCCAGAGTCCCTTCCAATCAAATTTTTTTCTATCGTTTATATTTTCAGCATATAAACTTCCAAGTGTTTTATTTTCTTGCTTTCAGGATGGTTCTATTTCCTAATAATGGACTGCTACTGTCTGTTCAGAAAGTTGCTTTTGAAGACCAGCTGTGACACACATTTTTAATCGATTGACCTTGGCTAAGAGGATTGAGAAACTTAAGGAAAGAAAAACATTCTCCTGTCACCTGCAAAACCTTACTATACGTAAGTTATGGTTATTTGTGGACTACCTTTGACACCAAATTGTTTAACCGTGCTGTGCATTCTTCCCATGATTTAAACTGCTCTGTATGAAGAGCGAATACCTCATGATTCTAGTGAGAAAAGAAATCACAACAGTAATATTCTGCCATTTCTAAAAACTACAGTGAACCCTAATAAATAACAGGCTCAGGCTCAAAGCAATAAACATGCCAGTGTATGGAAATCGTATTTTTTATAGATATAAAAGTAAACTGTGATTTAGTGTTTCATACCTTCACTGTATAAGTAACATCCTACCAGCAGTCATCCACAATAAACAATTACATTATTTCAAATTCATGCAGTGTTTAGTGTTGAGGAAGCAATGTATTTAAGAATAGTCAGGCTGAAAATCTGTTCACAAAAAAGATTTTTCAAGTATCTCTATTCCTCACATATACAAATATGTATGTATTTGTTTCATGTTTAGAATCACTTAGCTGCTAAAGAAGTCAAGTACTAACATGCCCTCAGCTCTGCCAGCAAAATACTAGCAAAATGGAGGCTATAGGTGTGTTGTGACTCCCTCATAAGGAGTGTATGGAAAAGTAAGAGAATGCAGACTGTAACTGTCTGCTGCAAATCTCTGAATACACCCTGAAAAACTAAAGCACGCAAAAAATGTCTGGTTGCTAGTACAACTGGTTGCACAACATTGACTCCCCTTTGGTCTTGCAGACCTCAGATCTGTTGACCTGGACAATCTCTTTTAGTCTGAGTAGAGAAGTTACGAAAAGCACTTTCCAGTAAAAGCCTGAGACTAAGGAGGGATTTGCTTAGCGCACTTCTTTAGGTTTTTTAAAGCATGTGTCTATGTGCTCAGAAAATCCTGCAAAAAATTTTACTGAATAGTCTTTTGGGAACATATGAGTATCTGGACAAAGGGTCTTGTCCACAACATTCAAAATTGCATGGAATAGAGTCATAGACTAGAATTATAGAATAGTTTGGGTTGTAAGAGACCTTCAAAAGTTATCTAGTCCAGTCCCCCTGATCCCAAGCATCTAACCCCAAACCAGCCAGGTGTTACAGAGCTTTTCTGATTTGCCCAGTGATGAACATATTCATTTTCTTCCTGCCTGCTTCTGCACATTTCAGGCAGGGAGGTATGGTGCAATAGACTGTACCACAGAATTAGTACTTCCAGGGCAGAATCAGTGACAACAAAATGTACATGGTATTTCCTAAATATGTTCCCAGTCAAGCTGTAATGAGGCTTCTTAGTGAGCAACAATTAGGTCTGATTGTGTTGGGAATCAGAGCAGATAAGTTATTAGTGAAGCAGTTATATTAGGGGAATCAAATGATTTTTTTTTTTTTAATCACAATACTCTGTTTTCCTGGGCAGGATTTTTTCTTTCTCTTCACACACAGTGAATAAAGAAACGACATGGTTTCCTGTGTGCTCATAAAGATATACTATGGGGTAATAAACCTGAATAATATTCATTTCCATTTGTTATAATAATTGTAATAAATCTGCAACGCATAGATGAAAGCAGCTGTACTAGCCTTACATCTCACAAAAGATAAAAAAGCTTCTAGAAAGGACAGAATGAAGTGTTTATTGTGCCTTCTTAATTTTAAGTACATTTAAAAGAATTGCCATTTCCTTCTGTTGCCTCATTTACAAGCACCAAGTTAGGTGGTAATTATAAGATAATTCAGTAACACTCTAAAATAATGATTCAGCTAATTAATGCTGAATTACAGAGGCGGTCCTACACAGATACTTATAACACCCCCATTAACACTGACAGAGTTCATCATGATTATTCGAGCAAGCACTAAAGGAACTGAATGTGATTAGGCCAGTTCTTGAAAATGTCTACTTTTTTTTTTTTTTATAAAACTGTGGCCTTTTATAGATTTCTCTATAGTACAGGTGTCTTAGGGAGGAAATGGGGCATAGGAACCTTCCTCCTACATGCAGCAGTCACTGTGCACGGTTGTCACGGGGTCTCTAGAGCCTAAATTGAAATATCACACTGGCCACTGAAATCATGACCACAAAAGGGTGTAGTCATTTGTTTAGGAGCTGTGGACAGGGGCATGTTACTAACTACCCTATCTTTGAATTTCGCTGATGCTAATGTAGGGCTGAGGACAGGAAGGGATTCTTGCTCAAGGTCAGCAGAGAGGGTTTGTTGCCGCAGCATCTAGGGGCCAGCATCCTTCTTTTTTATTTTTCCCATTTCCTCTGGAAAGTCAAAGTTATTCTGGATTAGTCTTGTGTTTGCTGGAGCTTTGTATTTTGTAAGTGCTGTCACATTTGTCTGTACTGCATTTGTGCCTTGTTGTGTTAAATAGAGAAGGGGCAATATGGAGGCTTTTAAAATAAACTCCACATTTATTTATTTATTTTAGAACGTGCAAGAAGATTACAAAAAGAGTAGGTTTAGTTGTTTTATTTATATATAGAGACACACAGGTCAGGGTAACGTTAACATATCATGAGAATTTCGAGACAGCATGTTCACTTGTCCCCAGAAAACTTTGTTGTCTTCACTACCTGCAAGCTAATGGCATTGTTTTGAATGAAGTACAACTCGTTGGTGACAGAGATGACTCTGGTAATTACATGAATCTACCCATTTATGCTAGCTGCCTGGGCATCAGAACCCCGTGTGCTCTCTTACACAGGCAGTATTTACAAGACTTTTATAAAGTCACAGCATTTTTCTTCCATAAAGATCTGCACACCCAAATGTTAAATATGTGCTTGAGAAGAAAGAAGTTAGAAATTGTATATAATATACTACAGAGCCATTGGGAAATTGAATAGAGACTCATCCAATTAAGGGGCCTTGGCACATACTTTTTGCCCCAGACTTGTGATTTTTATTTCTAAGTGGGAGTTCTGCAGAGGCTAATGTGTGAAAAATCCCATGGTGAAGCACACAGGGCCCCGTGCATCACTGCTGCGCTCAAACCCTGGCTTCCGCTCCGGGTGGTGGAGAGCAGGCTCTTAACGGAGGAAGGCCAGAAGCAGCACAGCATGAGATGGCAGCGGAGCTGCTTGAGCCTCATGGTTCTGGCTGCGAGATGGGAATAGTCTGGCGATGGTCCTTGCATCCCCACAGGGGGCAATGGGTGATGGATCTGTGTGCTGGCACTGTGTCTGCAGCCCAATGATCTCCAGCTGTCGTAGATGGCAGCCGGCTGTGTTATAGCTGGTTCAAAGCTGGGCTTTATGGTTTCTTTGGGTTACCAAACGCCTTTTCATTCTGGCCAGAAGAACTTAAAATATGCAATACTATGGATACAGACGCAAATTGAGACTTGGCAAAACAGCATCGCTTTCACTTATGTAAGGGCTGAATCTGCCTCCCAGTGTTTTAGTGGCCAGTTACTTTCCCTCTCTCCAGTGTAAAAGTTTTGCTTTTGCTGTCCCAGGCAGCTAGAAGTACCTCTAAAGCACATTCATCCAAGCCCTTCAGAATCAGTAAGAGTTGGAATGGGTTCAGTTGGGAAATGGTGGGATTACAATCAGGGTACGGAACTCAGAGGACTGAGGCTCTGCTTCTGACTGTGCTGCAGACTGTGAAGGAATAACCCAATTTTTCAACTCTCTCACTTGTCTATCTGTAAAAAGGGATGGTAATCTTTTATTCATCTATTTTACCTATTCAGACTAGAATATATACTGAAATACAAGCAACAATAGCAGAATGTTAAGCAAATGGGCCTGGGAGGGTAGAAGAGACAGAGGTGGATAGAGAGAACCAAAACAAGTATCATGAGAAAGAGAGTAGAAATCACAGTTGCAGTTGGCTCAGTGAAAATCCCTGCTTAGAAACACAGCTGAGGGCAGGTTTTGGGTAGCTCTTTTTTTTTTTTTCCCCTTGCCTGCCAAAGTGCAGGGGGAGTGGGGAGGAGCCGACTCCTTTCCAAGAGCTGGAAGTACAGTGCTTCTGTGGGCTGTTGGTGGGAGATGCTTTGCTGAAAGGGAAAAGACTGGGCGTACATAGGCTAGTCCTCGTGTGACACCCAAATATCCAAGGTGGCTGAAGTCTTCGAAATGCCTCTGGAAATTCAGAGTGCTTACTAATTGCCCAAGAAAGGGATAAATTTATTCCCTGATGAATGAACTGTGGTCAGCCAAGGAAGAATTTTAGAGATCATGTATCTGTTGTAGAGACTAGTGAAAGAGGGGAAGAAATGGGCCAATCTGGCCCATGTAAAGATAAACAGTGATTAGAGAAAGGAAACAATCCAAGGAACAAGCTGAATTTGGCAAGAGTACATCAACACTATGTTTTCCAACCCTGCAAGTGTACAGCCCCTAGGCAAGACCAATTCCAGTGGAAAGCTTCAGCCAACAAACTGCAAACACTTGAAAAAACTGATGATAGGCTCTTTGGGAGCCTCTCTGGGAGGAAGATTCTTGTCTGGCAAAGTGACTTGCATACTTCTGGCACTAAACAAACCATGTCTAACTATGGTGCTTTGTGGTCACCCATTGCCTCACTATTTTTGTGCCTCCTTGCCTTAACCCACTCTACATGCACAGTGCCTGTGGCGGAGAAGGCAGCTCTCCCCAGCTTGCTGACAGAAGGCAGAGACTTAAATTTGGACTTGAGGAAGGATTCTTGATGAAATCCAGAATCATGAACCAAAGGCCTCTCTTGGCATTAGTCATACAAGTTAGGACCGCCTAGCATCGCTGCTGCAGCGAGGCTTGAGCGTGATTTTGGGACTCCGACAACAACCCACACCACAGAAGCGGCACCCCATCTGCCTAGTGCTCCCAGATTCAGCAGCCACTGCTTCCCACAGTCACACTGGCTGCCCCCACTGGGCACTGCAGGCAGAAGCCACTTGTCTTGCAGTGCTTGTCTTGCAGTGCTTGTCTTGCAGCACACCTCTGCCACCAGCTACACTGGACAAAGCAGCCTCCCTCTGCCTTCCCCCAGCAGCTATGCAGGCATAAGTCCCAACTCCTGCTCCCCACGTGGAGG